GTTCGATATCATTTTTTGATATCGACAAACATGAAACAGCCACATCACGTTGGGCCAGAGCAAGAACACGAGCTGCTAAGGTAGATTCAAAACCATTTAAATATTAAAAAAAATGTAATTAAATAATCAAAATCAGATAATTTACAAAGTTTTTCTTCATTTTTTCAGGTTGGAAAAGGATTATCACAAAATTCCAAAGCCCAGAAGCTTGCTTTGCAGCATTGGCTCGAAGCTGTAAGTGAAACCTAAAATGATGAACTGATATTACTATTTAATATTTATATTACTACTTTGTTGAATTTCTATAAATTTTCTAATTTTGTTTGTGTTATATTTATATTTATACAGATTGATCCAAGGCATCGTTATGGTCACAATCTTCACTTTTATTACTTGAAATGGTTTCAGTCTCAAAGCAAAGAACCCTTCTTTTACTGGTAACTACATTTCATAATCTTTAATCTTACATTCTTATAAGAATTCAGAAGCAATGTTTATAAAGTTTATATAAACTGAATCTTTTTATTTTTTTGAAAACTCAGGTTGGATATAGGAGAAGGTAAAGAAATAAATCTTGTTGAAAAGTGTCCAAGATCAAAGCTTCAACAACAATGCATCAAATATCTTGGCCCGGTATAATTCTTGTCCTTTTTCTATCTTTTTTGAAAACCCAAATTGGAAATCAAATAAAGTTTTGATCTTTGTAATGGGTATTGAATAAAGATTTGATTTTGTGATGTATATTTGAATAAAGCATTGAACTTTGTGATGTATGTTGAATAAAGAAGTGAATCTTATCAAGATTCTTGTTTTTCTTGTAGATGGAGAGGAAGGCGTATGAAGTAATGATAGAAGGTGGGAAGTTTTTTTACAAACAAACAGGCGATTTCATTGATACTACTGGAGAAACAAAAGGTGCTAAATGGATCTTTGTTTTAAGCACAAACAAGATTTTATATGTTGGGATAAAAAAGAAAGGTTCTTTTCAACATTCAAGTTTTCTTTCTGGGGGTGCCACGTTGGCTGCAGGGAGATTTGTAGCTGAGAAAGGTGTCCTTAAGGTATATTATTATTATTATTGTTATTATTTATTTATTAATTATTACTTATTAGTGTCTTTTTCTTGTTTCAAAAAAGTACAAGATTCTCATATTAATATGTTTATTGAATAGGCGGTTTGGCCTCATAGCGGTCATTATCATCCTACCAAAGAAAATTTTCAAGATTTCATTTCGTTCCTCCATGAAAATGATGTGGATACTTCTCATGTAAAGGTAAAAAAACAAAACTATATTCAATTGTCATTATTTTATTTTGATTTTCTTGATAGCAGAGTGTGGAGACTTAAAATCAGTGTTGTGTAGTATAGGCATAGGCTAGGTCCTAGCCTCCTAGACTTCTAGGGTCCTTTTTCGTAATTTGTGCTTTCTGAACAATATTCACCTTTTGAATCTTGTCACATCTATTATGTCAGCTTTTTTGCTAGTATCTGCTATCTGCTTTATTTTTTATAATTGATACTTGATAGGAGGTTGTGGAGGCGTAAGAAGTACAATATTTACCTTCTTTAGTCTTGTTCCTCTCTTTAATGTCAGCTTTTTTGCTAGTATCTGCTTTCTGCTTTATTCTTGATAGTTAAAAGTTGATTCTCACACTTTTGTTATGATTTCAGATGGATTCCATTGATGATGATGATAAAGAATACCTTGGAAAACAAAGTAGTATTATTGCTCACGCAGCAACTCACTCATCCGAAGATGAAGATCATACTTTTGAAAAAACCGTTGAATATCAAGATATGCCATTGGTATCAACAAAAAAAGCGAAACTTTTTGGTGGTTTTACTTTAAGTGCTCTTGAAATACCAAACAACAATGATTTGTACGTGAAGTTAAAGAACGAGAATCTATCATTCAAAGGATCAAAAGCCATGTTAGATGGTTACTCGGATGATGAACATGAGCAAGAAATGGAAGAATCTATCATTCAAAGGATCAATTCACATAAAGAAACAAAATCGTTTCAATTAGGAAGACAACTTTCGTGCAAATGGAGCACAGGAGTTGGACCTCGAATTGGTTGTTTGAGGGATTACCCTTCAAAGTTACAATCACATGCTTTAGAACAAGCAAATTTGTCTCCAAGAAGTTTGAGGTCATTTGACCGAAGAAATAGAACACAATCGTCTCCGTTGACTTTTAAATCATGTTAGTTGACTTTATAGTTTCTAGAGTTGGTTGATTAATTTGTTGATTTCTAGTATTGATAGCAAATGCAAATTGACATAGGTAGTTTAGGCATTCTTTTGAAGTTTAAATGTACAAATTATGTATAGAATTATAGTTTTTCCTTTGTTTTCCAAGTCTTGTATAGATACAAATTGGAAAAAAAGTTGTAGATTTTACATGAGTATTCATTGATAATACTCTTTTAATGAAAAATGATTGAATTTTTTGTGTACTTTCTTTGATTTGATACAAGGGTTTCGAGTCTTTTATATGAACTTACATGAGTATTAAATGATAACACTCTTCTAAAATGAAAAGATTGGATTTTTGTGTTCTTTCTTTGATTATAATGCATTGATCTTGAGTCTTTACTTTAAGATTACATGAGTATTAGTTGATGAAAAAAGATTGGATTTTTGTGTTTTTTCATTGATTATGAGATATGGGTTTGACTATTTGAGTCTTCTATTTGGATCTTTAAATCAAATCATCAAGAAAATCTTTTTTTGCAAAAGTTGGAACCTTTCTTATAAAGAATTTAAAAGAAAAGATCTTGTAAAAAGATTGGAGAGACTTAAAGTTGTACTATGTGCAAGTATGGTTGTACTTTTGCACATTAAACCATTAAGAAACGAGTATTTGCAGTAGACTTGCAAGATTTTTTCATGGAAATAGGATCTGTTACTCAAGACTGGAGAGTTGACTATTTATTTGGTCAAAGTTGTAATCGATTAGGAAATGGAGATCTTGTCTACATGTGGAAACCGTGTACAAAACCAATTTGTGTCGTTTGATGAATTAAAAGAATGCAATTTCTCTTATTTTTCATTTGCCTTTTCTTCTTATTATTATATTTTGTAATTTTGCTCTTTGGTTTTTGTTCACCAAATCTACCAACTTTTTGTGCATATACACCTCATCTAATTAAACTTAGAATACATCAAGTTTAAGGGTATATATACACCTCATCTAATTTAATTTAAAATATATAAATCAAATTCAACACGGGTCATATACATAAAATATAATGATTTAAACGTAAAAATAGCATAAATATAACAAATTAGGAGTATTGCCCTAGATGTTAATATGAAACCTCCTAGAAAGTATGTCGCAATTGTCTTGGCAAGGTAGATTGGATTTTTTTTTTTTTTTCGTTTTTTTCTTTTGAAATAAAATATGAATATAGAGATTATGTTGCCACGCATAGACCAATTCAAGATTATGCTTGCTCAATACATATTTTTGCGTGTTAATTTACATTTTTTTATATTGGTTAGAACCAAGTCCTAATGGTTATTTAATTATCAATGGAGAAAGTTGTTTGTAAAGTAACGAAACATTTTATATAATTAAACTATGAAATCAAGAAATTCCATGTCAATCTTATGAATAATTGAATATCATATAATGTTATATGACAACAAAAACCAAGGATATATAGGTAATACGTATTTAATCTTTTTTTCAATGACACATTCCTTAAGGTGTTACACCATTAATTATATATAATAGAGTATCGTATCTACATATTTTAACCAAAAGTTATTACCTATATAAGTCATATGTACAAGAATAATTAACCATTTAACCGTCTAATTAATTAAAGTGACATTATATTTATAGCATAAACATGCATCAAATCCCAAAACCCATGGTACAAGAACCATAATTGCATACAAATCAATCTGAGTTAAATTACCTGAACATTTGTAAAAGGAATGTTAAGTCGTGAACACATTAGAAAATGCTATGGTAAAATGATTTTTACTAAATTTATTATTATCATAATCGTTGACATCGATATCAAATGCTTGTGCAATTGTGTTAATTGACTCATACTATTGTTGTTTATTTTGACAAATTGACAACTTAATTGGCATTTACAATAATTTTTCTCATAAAGATGCGACATAAAATAACACACACACACGATAAATTAAACACTTAATTATAAAAGAGTTTTAAAATATCACATAGTTCTTCAGTAATATTCCAATCCGTATTTTTAAAAATACAATATATATAGAAACCAATATATGTTACTTTTTCTGCAGTTCAATCACTATTTTATTTCGGTTAATGAAAGTCATCCATTTTCTAAAGAAATTTCCATTACAACCAATGTTGTCTCATATTTCTAGTTTAGCAAATATTAAAAATAACATTGTTTCTTAATTACCTAAATGACATCCTATTACAATATGAAGTAACATCTTTTTTCCTAAAATGGTTTATCATTTATCGGTTTAACAAGTTATACATGTATCAATTAGCTAAATGAGAAGTATTTCAAAAAGTTAGATGTTATTTGAGAAAGTACATATGATATCATACAGTTTAATGAGGTACCATGTAGTTGTACTTTTAATGCCTACTAAACTAAAAATAGTCACATAATTTCTTTAAAAAATAGATGACTTTTATCTACCGAAGTTAAATATAGTAGTCAAACCACATAAAAGGACCAAAATATAAATGTTTTATCTAAGATTAATTCCACAAAAGCTATTATTCATACGATTTTGTTTTTTTTTAGCCTTTAGATTTTTTTGCTCCTTATATGGTACCATGTTTTGGGCCGGGCTTTGGTCTTAATCTTGATTTGGGCCTAATCGGCCTCTGGTAAAATATTTGGGCGAAATTGTAGTAATCGAATTAATCAATCCAATTCAAAAGATCGTCTCAAATCTAAGTATCAAATACCAATGATCTTTTGCTTTATAAATACACTTGCTTGTTTGATACAAAAAAAAAAAAAGCATAAAACAGCCCCATTGACTTAAATTTTGAACCTTTAAATAAAACAACAAAATGGTAATGTTTCATTTGTCAATTAACAAAAACTAACTTTTCATTATTGCATGGCGTGCAATAAAAGACTCGACCAACGGGTTCACCAAATGAGGCGCTTCATCCTGCCATGTCAGCATCACGTCAAAAACCAAAAATTACAAATTTTCATAACAATAAAAACAAAAATTACAATCAATGAATACCGTAAAATTTGTTTTTTTAAATACGAGGATAAAATTGTCATTTAGTTTCATTCAGACAGCCTATTCAGTCTAGAAAATAAACAAATTTATATACCTGAGGGCAATGACCAACGTCAGGAAGTACAACAAAATCTTCAACAGTGTCAAACTGTCCATAAGCTTTTCCGAGTTCAACGGGTTCCCAAGGATCTTTATCCCCCCATGCCACCAACACCGGACACTACACAAAACACAAGATTATCATATCTCATTATCACCCACATTTTTTTCAATATGAAATGTTTGACTTTGACCAAAAGGGTTGACCAAAAAGTCAACCTTTACTAGAGGCAGTAGTTCTTCGGGAAGTGGGCCATCTGAATAACAAATAAATTCAAGGAACACGTCAGCAGCACCAGGCTCAAGCCCTGGAAGAAGGATTGTGTCCACCAGTTCTTCAGTCACTTGGGAAGTATCATGATAACACTATCAAATCACAAAAAAAAGAAAAAGTTTTAATAACGTTTTATTATCATTAAAAAAATTTATAAAAATATATTTACCTGACAAAGAATATTCTTAACAGATTCTCGTGTTGCGACAGTTTGAAAGAAGAATTTTCCAACAGGGGTATTCCTGGAACAAACGATTGTAACTTGAAAAAGTTGGTTCAAATTGGAGGTTAGATTGGTAATTTACCTCAGTAAGTTCTGGAAAGATCTGATCAGGGGTCTCCCAAACCATGGTTGTTTTGTTATATGAAGCATACGAAGAGATATATTTAGAAGAACAATGCCTTTACAGATGCTTGGATCTGAAACTGCTGCTTGAAGACCAACAAGTCCTCCGATTGAATTGCAGATAAAGAATGCTTGATCTTTAACTATTTCTGTACAAAAGTCGTTTATTTGAGAACCCCATGTCTCAAATGTATAAAATGGAGTGTCTCCAAGATCACGAGGATTTGGTTTGTCGGAATAACCATAGCCAATAAGATCGATTGAGAATACTCTATTTGATTCTGCAAGAACAGGGATGTTTTTGCGCCAATGATCGCTGTTAAAGAAGATGAATTGGAGATATTTAGCGATATGGGAGTGTATGATGAAACAAAGAACTTGAAGATGGAATCATGTAGGCAAATCCAGGATAGGATCAGAAACATTTGAATTTTGAATGATTTGATTATTTGTTCATTTGAATTATCGCGAATCTAATGCAGTTAATACCTATATCACATAGTTGACGAGAAGCAAAAGATGAATGATGGTGGACCTGTTTGCTCCGAATCCATGAACTAAAACCAATGCAGGGCCACTGTTTCCGGCGTACTGGTATCGAATCGAATAGCCTTTCCAATTCCAGGTGCTACAACACATACAAAATCAAATCGAGATAATTAGTTTATTCACACATCAAAACACCCCCAAAATCAGGCTTCATAAATCGTAACACTATAAGTATTGTCTCAATTTGCAAAATTAAGGTGCTAAAAAAAACCCTAATCAGGGAAATAGATGATACCATGTTTCGACTTGAACTTTGGGGCTGATTGCTTCCACTGCTTCGATTGAAGAACTGTCTGTTAAACACGAACAGATTGATATTATTCTGCTTGGTTTCGAAGAAATGGAAGGAACCCGAGTTTTCCTGGGGATACTCGACGACGAAGATGAAATTTTGTACGTGAATGATTGTGGGAAGTGGAGTTTGGGCAATCCGAGTGTAGAAGAAGTGGTGCTCGCCATTGAGAGGGAGCTCTGTGTGCATCTCACCGCTTGTTCTTTTGCATTTGAAAGTTTCGAATGCTTTGGAGCCACACAGTTCGGTGATGTGAAAAAGCTTGCCACGTCGCCTCTAAAAAGATACATGAAACGTAATCAATCAAATTATTCCAATATACATATACATATTTTAGGTGTTCTATATCATGGATCATATAAAGTATGAACTAAGTTTAAAACTGTTATAATTAAAACAAAAGTTAAATATCTAGGTATAAATATTAAATTATTTAAATATTAAAATTTAGAGATAAATACAAATAAAATTATGAATAAGTAGGTAATTCAATATATAATAATAATAATAACTAATGCTATATTCTAAATAAATGAGTTGAATCATAAATTTTCAAATACTTTTTAAAATATTAGATGTCCTATTTATAAATTTACCGTGTACTAAACGGTCGACATCTAAAAAATATGTTTATTTATCTTTCAGCACATAAATGACACTTTTCATAAAGTAGAATATCATATAAGAAAATGTTTTTATTTATTTTCTAAATCATGCTCGAATTAAAAAATAATAATAATAATAATAATAGAATGTAAAAAATTGTAAATAACATTCTTTTAGAAAGTACAATGTTACAATAGAAAAAAAAAAGATTTCTGTTGCATGTTAGAAATCTTCAAGAAAATGATCATTTTACGATGCTATATATGTATATATGATACTTTCCAAAAAGTATAATCATATAAAAGAAAATGTTTTTTCTTTAATTAACAAATATTCAAGGAAGCGTTATAACCTCTTTATTCAGAAGACTAACTTAAAACTTAACTTTAAGTCACTATAATTAAAATCATATGATAATGATTGTATTCATATATTAATATTAAAATTGGACATTACAAATCTTAGCCTACGTGGTTTGTTATAAAAAAAACATTATATCAAATATTTTGTAAATATTTATTAAAATGTTGATATTGATATAATAAAAAAATTTATTATCATTCATGTTAATTATAATATTTTATAATAATCTTATTTATTATTAATATAAGTTAAATAGTCTAGAAATATAGCCAATTATAAGTATTACCACTTTTACATAAAAATCTAGAAAACAATTTTCTAATAATTTTATACTCGAATTTAACATTATTTATTATTAGCCATTATTGCAAATATATAGTGAAATTTTCATGAACAGCCATTTTAGTACAAACTATTATGTCCAAAAAGAAAATAAAATGCACCAAGTTAAAAGCTTACAGCGATAGCCATGAACCTCGTAAAATAAGGGTTTGAAAATAAACCAAACAAAAAACCTGACCAAACAAATCCTTTGCATTAAAAACTTGTATATTGTCATTAATTTGAGGGATAATGACTTGAAAGGGTAACGAACTTTCGGTTTTTGTCACATTTAATCACTAAACTTTTTTTCGTTATCTATTTGTCATTGAACTATTGAAACTGTTCACATTTTACCCTTATGACCGGCTGTTACCGGTCATAAGGGTAAAATGTGAACAGTTTCAATAGTTTAGTGGCAAATAGATAACGAAAAAAAGTTTAGTGACTAAATGTGAACAAAATCGAAAGTTCGTTTCCCTCTAAAAAGTTCAATGACTAAATGTGAACAAACTTTCTATTGTATTATGTTTTAGCAAAATTATTTATTTTTGCTTAATTGTAGCAACATTTGTTGATAAAGAAATCTATGAAATAAAAAAAAAACAAAATGTAACATCCGGATTTTCAGGTATCATCATTTAAGTATCCTAAATCTTTGGGCCCGAGCCATATTTAAAGGCACTTATGGCCTTCAATTGCGACTACCTTTCCCATAAGTGAGAACCCTAGCGAGCTTGAGTGTGTAGAGTGAGAGGAAGGGCTATCTTGAGCTTTTTGGTGTGATAGATCTGGACCCTTCTAGGTTCAGAGAGCCGAGAATATGAAGCTTTAGTAGAGTAAACCTTGGAGTTCGAAGTAAGGAAGCATTTATGGGATTTTTATGGTATATATAGTTACTTTCATCTTACACTAGATATGAAGTATTTTATATAAATTACGTGCTATGTGTGCATATTATTTGAATACTTGCTGTCTATGCTGGATAAACGATTTTATACATGTTTTAAAAGATTTAAACGGTATATTTATTTTATATCTACAAATATGTTGCGGATGAAACATGGGTAGATGAAATAGTTGGTGTGTGATGAAATAAAATGATGAGAGATAGGTGATTATAGAAAGGTGGTGATAATTAGGTAAATAGATGATGATGAATATGTGATGTAGGATGAAAGGAGATACCATAACCTTAACCAGCAATGTGGCGATGTAGTCATCTACCAGAAGTGATGAATTACGAGTTCAGGCGATGTTGTAACTACGTATTCATGTGATGGTACTCTAACCCCTTACTATGAATTACGAGTTTAGACGATGTTGTAACTACATATTCATGGGATGTCACAAATTCCGCATGCCAAACCAATGGTCATAATTCACATCAGTGAGAATGATTCATTTTTTTGTAAAACCAAAATCAGATTGGAAATTTTGATTTTTTATTTTGGAAAATATCAAACCATTGGTTTTTTATTTCGGTTTTGGTTTTTTTGTTTTTGTTTTAAATATATTTTCAGGGTTTTGTTTTGTTTTTTTTTATTTCATAGATTTCTTCATCAACAAATGTTGCTACAATTTAACAAAAATAAATAATTTGCTAAAACATAATACAAGAGGAGGTTTGTTCACATTTAGTCATTGAACTTTTTAGAGGGAAACGAACTTTCGATTTTGTTCATATTTAGTCACTAAACTTTTTTTCGTTATCTATTTGTCATTGAACTATTGAAACTGCTCACATTTTACCCTTATGACCGGCAACCGGTCATAAGGGTAAAATGTGAACAGTTTCAATAGTTCAATGGCAAATAGATAACGAAAAAAAGTTTAGTGACTAAATGTGACAAAAGTCGAAAGTTCGTTACCCTTTCAAGTCATTATCCCTTAATTTGAACCTTTTTCCTAACTCTAACATTTTTACAATGTTATCCTAAACAAAACTCCAACACATTATACCTCAACAACAAGCTACAGGGTGTTGTTAGATACATGACAACACACATCTAAATTCGAGGGGCATTTGGACATTGTGTCTAAAAATGGAGTGAACATTGTGTCTAAAAATGGAGTGAAAACAGGTTAATCCATTTCCGCAATCTTTAAACTTATCTATTTAATCACTCTTATAACCTAACAAAGAATTATAGTTTTACTATATCTCATTATATTATCCACCAAAAATGCTTACAACAATAGTTAAACTTAAGAATATTAAGTTAGATATTTTGTGCAATACTTGAAATCGGAAAACTTTTTCAAACTGTTGAAAACCAACAAAGACATCGGGTAATTTTTATGTTTCGTAAATAAATTAATTTCGTAATGATTTTAGTTTGCCAATTTTTTTGGTTCGGTTGATAATTTGTTGAAAGATTTGCTATGATACATTTTTGAAAGCCATAAACTATATATATATATATATATATATATATATATATATATATATATATATATATATATATATATATATATATATATATATATATATATATATATATATATAAGCATTAATCATGTAAAATACACATTGGTTGCAAAAAAATGTCAACGGATCCAAATTGGGTATTTATTTATGAAATTTTAAGTCACATTTTGTAAGAGAATATCAACATTATTCATCAAATATATATTTCACCAAAAAAGAAAATTTTCAATCTAAAATACATTTCAAATGAAGAAAAATGACTTTCTCGAAAAAAAAAATAGTTCCTTCTTAATTTTACAAGAGAAATGAAGTATATACCACAAAATAAAAACACCGTCAAATTTTAATTAGACAGATTAATTATAAATCCCATAGCAAAATATGCATTTTATAAACTTGACCGTCAAATATTGGATAAAATGGAAATATTGTAACACTCAACAAAAACACCTATTGAGTTGTTCCCTTTAGTGCTTAATTAAGTTACCATTACTTTAGATTATTTTAATGGTTAGACCTTACTTTTCATGGGTTATATAAGAGTGTCTTATGAATGAGAAATGTGCAAGTTTTGAACTTCTTTCTTCCCATCTTCTTCTCTCTAAAACCGTAAGTGTGGAGATGCTTCATCTCCATGCATTGTGATGCTTTAGTTTGGTGTTTAGAAGACCTATTGAGTTGTTCCCTTTAGTGCTTAATTAAGTTAAGCACTTAAAGGCTTTAGACACTCAAGAATACAAGAAGGAACTAGCATTCCAAGTATCTTACTCTTAATGGTAAATACTTGTAGAGAAAATCATACACTTTGATCTTTTGTTATTGTCATCGACACCGCAAAACCAAGCGGGTTCAAATGCTTCAAATGTTATCTCTAAAACATACGATGATTGTTTTAATTTCATTCTAACCTCTATAAATGGATCCATGATGATGTGGTTTTGTTATGAGCTAAAAATAAACATGTTATTTTTAAAGTCTTCCGTTGCCGGTTTTTATGAAAAATAAACTTTTATTTCGTATCAAAACCTAACAGTCGTATCAGAGCTATCTTTTATATGTTAGAATGATTTTTTTATGTTTGGTAATCTTTGGTTTTTGGAAAACAAGAATAGATTTCTTTTGGTTAAGAAAAATACATATTTGTCTTCTTTGTCATCTTCTTGGTTAAAATTGTTTATTTCTATATATAACCATTTTTCATGCATTTTGGTTATATAAAAGTTGTCTTAGAAAAAACAAAGAGTTTTTTTTTATAATATTTGATATGTTGTTTTGTATAAATAAACCATTTGGACCTTTGTGTTGTGTTTGTTTGATATTTATTTATTCATAAGATGTAATAGATAAATATGTATTCTTCATTTATTGATTTGATGTAATAAATTAGTTAGACTAGTTGTATTTACTTTAAATGTAACAAGATGAAAAAATTACCACCTTGAAGACCTTTGAAGTGTCCCTTAAGTCATTTAGAAAAGACTTAATAATTCATATGATGGCTCACAAAAATTATTACTAGATATGACTTGGTTAAAAAGCCTTTGTCGAACTGTGACACGTCATTTAGAT